AAAGAAGCATAACTGGTCACTCCAGAAAACACATCTCCTTGTTCTAATCCAGTGGCGATGTGCTATACGCCACTTCATTGGCATTGTATTTGGTGATGTAAGGCTTAGGTTCAGCTGCTTGGCCAAGGGAAACCACTATAAAAAGCTCTCTATGCATTATTGAGCTAATCCAGAGACCACAAGTTTAAAGGTCTGTAGCTATTGACCATGGTTCGTTACTGTGTGCCATCATTGTCTACTATGGTGTCGAGTTTCAGCTGTGTATTTAAAAAATGGTACTTAATGTGTTGTCGTTCCCATGGCTTGTTGTATGCATCAGTTAACCAATAGTGTTTAGCTGTGAGTCTTGCTCCACCCTTTTGACACCATACTGTTGTGCTCCGAAAAATGTGGTTTGTTTCTTAATTTGGTACTTCTGACATTGTACTGTACCAACCCGTACTGCTCAGTGGAAACAAGCCATTAGTGGCCACTCACATATCTTTTGAATACACTAGGAAGTAAATGAAATATTTATGTTTAACTTTCTGTAAAAGGTCTTTTAGTGCACAAGCAGATAGCCATACACACATGACTAGTCCCACAGTTGTTACACAAGCCTCGAGAAGATTAACACTTTACATGAAATCCCTCTTTCAAGCAAACCCATTTGCAGATCAAGTAAACTGTGAAGCCCTCGCACAGGTAGAAAGTGACAGGCCTGTGTGCTCTGGGTGATTCACATCCTCAGAGGGCCAAAGAAATGTTCAGAGTGAATAAAACCCTGCTGAATTACTTTGGTCTAACATGGAGTTATTGATCGTGGCCAAGGGCAGTAGAGGCAGCTCGGAGCCTGGCTCTCTGTCTGAATTAGAGCTCTGTCGGCACAGCACAAGCCTGATGTACTCACACTGTGCAAATGTAGGGAAGCTTTCGGATTTGCAGCAGCTGTACTGCAGTTTGCTATGGGGACTGTAAAGAGCATTTTTCTCCATCATCATGCCTTCTATAGCACATTGGGAGGTCAGTACATGTTTAGTGCTATTTATAGTTGTGCAATTAACATAACAGTATGTAGCATGTAATACAAAACCAGCATGCGTTGTAGCATAAAAACATATTAAGTAAAGGTGGGACACAGCAGGCAAAACGTTTTTGAGATTTTGGGCTTTCATAAATATTAAATATATCATAAATATATCTATTTTTTGTCATTTTTATGGAGAGAAAACATACAAAATACACTTTTTAGGGTACCCTCTATTGCAGTTGCTCAGTTTGTGTCTGTAGATTTTAATTACCATACATACTATGTATTCTTTTGAACCTTGACTTTGAGTCAAAAATGTAGGACAATTAGTTTATATTTAATTAAATAATGACTGCATATTTAAACATACCATTTTAGAAAACATTACTTCCTGGTGAAGTATGTTGATAACGGTTAATTTTACCATGTCTACCAGCAGTGTCCTGCCTTAAAGATGATCTGTTACTATGTACACAGACAGAAACAAAAAATCTAAATCTGTCTGAAATATACATACAGGAAGTCCCAGCCTCAAAGTGAATTTGATGTCAGGGGCTGCTTTGAAAAGGAGAGATTGGTTGGCGAAAGGGAGGGAGATGGAGAACGAGAGAGTGAGAAAAGGATGACTCACTCTTTGAGAGAGCCTCCTGTAACTTCAGGCAAGCTGTTGGGCGCATAAATAAATGATGATATGGTGTCCCAATGTTGGTTTTGTGATGTCAGGATGAGCTTTCTCCCTCCCTCTTCCTCTCTATTTATCTCCCGCAGTGTCAGGTATACGCCTCATATTTTGAGTTGGGAAAAATTTAGGCATTCATTTGTCTGGAATTGTTCATACAGTGCAAAGTGTTGACACGTTGGATGTTTGAACTCATGAAGGTGTCAGTGTGTTGATGTGCGATTTGTGTCAACTTGCTAATAATAATTTTTACTTTCACAAACCTCTAGCCTGTCCCAGGAAATAACTAGCTTGCATTCCAATGCAATTTTTTATACCCTTCACTTGCTTAAATCCCTGTCTTATTCAATTTCAATTAAATTCATTGTTATTTCTATAGCACTTTAACAATGTAGATTGTGTCACAGCAACTTAACATAGAAGTTCCAATGAAGTGAAACTGTCAATCCAGTTTTCAGAGTTGAAGTTCAGTTTAGTTCAGTTCAATGTTGTTTAAATTTCACTGCTGAAAGTCCAAACACTGAAGAGCAAATCCATCGATGAGCAGCTCCACAAGTCCCAAACCAAGCAAGCCTGTGTCGACAGTGGTGAGGAACAAACTTAACCAATTGACCAAAGTGAAAAAAAAAAACCTTGAGAGAAACCAAGCTCAGTTGGACAAGACCATTTCTCCTCTGGCCAAACTTCTTGTGCAGAGCTGCAGTCTAGGCACTGGAGGCTGGAAAACTCTGGACATCCATTGTGGAGAACTGCATTTGTGAGTAGGTCACGAGTAGGTGATCAGGCTGGCACATGGTATCATTGCGAATACTCATCGATTACTCACTGAGGTCTTTCAGGAATCAGTCTCATGCTCGGCGCTCATTCTCTTGGATGTACGTAATTGATTACGTTATGAAACATCTGAATGGGTTTTAATGGAATGCCCTTAACCTTTGAGCACTTGAGAACTACACAGTTGTGACTTCACATTGCATCCTGGGATATATAGGTGCTGGAGTGCACATATCAAGCCGACTTGCTCCCTCTGCTAAAATCAGGGGATCGAGGGGAGGGACCCATGTAAGCTCCCCTTGGTCAATTGTTCAAGTGGAACGCATTTAAAAATGGCAGTGGGGATACCCCTGAGACAACAAGGGAAAAGATGTTCATGAGTGTGTCTCTAAAAGTGGAGTGGAACACGGCCCTAGTCTTTCACAGACATCCCTAGTCTCTCACAGGACATCACTACCCTAGTAGCAAAGAATTCTGGCCCAGATTTGGCAAAAAGCTGGCACAGCAGGCATTCATCCGGCACTGGCATACAGCATGTGTCAGGTTTGGCAGAGGTGGCACCGTTTTTAAGGCGGCACACAAGATTTGGGCCAGATGAAAAACGTAGTATTTGGCCCAGATTTAAAAATTTGATAAGTGGGCCATGTGAATTTGGCCAGTCTTGACCCACATTTAAAATACACTAAAATCATTTTTGAGTAAAGAAAAAAAATTCTAACAATCAGGTTACTTTGAGAAAAAGCGTGCCCATAGTGTGCCTAAAGCGCATCACTCCATGGGTTTATCAATTTCATTGCAATCATGACACACCAACCTATCTGGCCCAGTTCAGGCCCAGTTATGAGTTATTAATTTGGCTGAGACTTGGCCTAGATATGGTCTGTGTTTGGCCCTTGTCTGGAAGCCAGATTTGGTCCAGTCATGTACCGTAATTCACTGCGGCATGTGGGCTAAGCAAAACCTGATTGTGTGGGCCAGAGCTGGGCCAAAGAAATTTTGCTATGTGGGTAGACTCTCACAGGATATAACTGGTCTCTCATGGGATATCACTGGTTTCTCACAGGACATTATAATCTCTCACTGTTGTCACTGGCCTTTAACAGGACATCACTAGTTTTGCACATTGTTTTAACGTTATCTTGGTTTACTTTTTTCCCCAGCCTCTTGTGGATTGTTGTTGGCGTCTTAGTCATAAATTTGGTTGCCAATGTAATTCCAGTTTTTTAAGGTTTACATTGGCTCTCTGGGGTGGCAATTTTATTATTCTAATGTTTTCAGCTTCAGGAAACCCAAACAAATTAAAAACAACAGTTTTAACCAGTTCTATAGTTTTGAACTCCAGTTGCTGTGTGGAACCCTATGAGATGGTCAGCAGTATCTTGTTTTATCCTGCATTTGTCTTTTGTGGACGACCAGCCTTTTTGGGGGACTTCAATGAGTTATTGTTAATAATAGATTGTTAATAGCTTTTTAAAAATTGTATACTCTTGTTTAGAGTTACTAGTCTGAATATACCTCTTAATTTAATAATTGGCATTCTGTCTAAAAATGAGCCAAATCATTTCAACTTAAAAGACAAATATTTTTAAAATAAGATCAATAAGATTTCTTTTGTCTAGAAATGAGATTGTAACTCTTGACTAGATGAGCAGTTTTTGCAATCACTTATGAGTGTCCTACCATCGTGTAGTCTCAGAAAAAAAAACGATTAATTAGACTGCCAGTTCAATAGGGTTTATCAGATTATTTATAAAGTTACCACCAGATGCTTGATTAACACCAATTCTTGAGAGCCTGAGGTATAAGAAAGTGTTTTGAAACCTAAAAGATAATTTCAGAAGAAAAAATACTGTATATTTGATGTGAAACATGATAACACCAAGTGAAAAGTGTTCAATGAAGTGCTTGAAGAACCTCAGCACGCTTCCAAATAAATGTTCCAAAGTGGAAAAGCCGTCAATCTCAGCATCAGTTTGGACAGCTCCTCTGTAAAATCACCACACGCACACATACTTCATTTTTTCTTTCCTCCTCCCATCCTTGTCATCCCTTCATTCCTCTTCTCATCACTCCCTCTCAGTCTTCCCCTGAATACTAATTCAAGCTTCGTGCTACTTAATATTTGATTCAAAGCACACCTCTTGGGTTAGCCCTCTCCATTTCTCTTCAAAGGTTCTTCTTTTGCCACCGCTGGCCAAATGCAGTGGCAGAATTTGTATTAGTAGAGAGGGAAAAGGAAGAGACCTTGCTTGCTTGAGGCAGGAAGAGTGCGCATGTACTGTCTGGACAGCATGTGTGTGTGAGGGGGGGTATATTCAAGGTTACGGATCCACACAGACACGCTGGACATGACAAGCAAACATCATGAGTCGGCTTTATAGGGATGTAGGAAACTGTTTGATTTGAGTTTAAGGGGTGAGAACGGAGGCATACAGGGATTCTGCGAGATCAGGAGGGATAAATAGATGTTTGTGCATGATTTGGAAAGCGCAACAGGAAAAAAAAGAGGGAGGGAGGGGCGGCAGAGTTGGGTGGGGAGACAGATGCACCGCATTGTCAAGCCATAATGGAGGGAAGCAAAGAAAAGAGATGCTCTGTATGATTAGCCCAAGATATCGATCCTTCCCGTCCGGGAACTCCAGGGAATTTACTGTAACTTCAGATCAACGCTCTTTCCTCTTGCTGTCATTGATAGGTCTCAATGTCATTGTCAACTGTTTGAATCTGCAACCAATTGTATCAGTATTTACAGGATCAGAAGTGATCGGAGGGAGAGATTTCGCAGTGATATCTTCTGTTTCAGAGACACACTGACTTAGTGACTGACTAACTCTGATATCTCAGCTCACCAGAGAGTACTGAGGGGGTTGCAGCGAGGCAAGGAGGGAGGGAGGGTGGATGACGGCGAGAGCGTGTTGGAGGCGCACACACACACACGCTCTCGCATACAGCCTTACAGAGACAGGAGGGCAGAGACACGGAGAAGAAGAGGAGTGAGAGAGAGAGAGAAGGAGAGAATGTCTGCTGAGAGGGTGCCTCTCGTTCCTCGTTCACAAACCGGCCCTCGCTGAGACACCATGGGCTGTATCGGCTCCCGCACCATCAGTAAGACCCATTTTCATTGCCTTCCTTTTTCCAGGTTGAAAGGAGTCCAGCCAGGGGTAGAGGAGCGGCAGCCGATGCTCGGCTTTCACGCATCCCCCCGCTCCGGGAAAACGTGTGTGTTTCTATGGAAACCTTTTGGTTAAAGGCCGTTTGTCCTCCAGGCTTTGACAGTGATTCGGCACGCTGCTTGTGGCAAGCCGGGATGGAGGTGTCAGCTTTTGAGAGCTGTCTGGAATTGATATCCGTGCATGTTCACGTAGGTGCAGAGAGGCTGGCGCTTCAAGAGATCTAAAGTACAATTTTTGGATGCACATCCAAAGCATATGGTCTCAAAGGCTCACCACTATGCTAAGGTCACGCCAGGAGCTGCTTGTGAGAAAACAGCAGCAGCTGACAGATTTAAGCGCAAACATACATACATGCAGGAGGCTAACCCCAGAGAGTGTTTTTCGGGATCAGAGGTGCGGGGTCCACAAAAAGCTCTCAGGTGTGACATGGTCCCGGCTGGATGCGCTTCACATGTAGGTCAAATTCTGCAAAGTCAACGATGCCGGTGGGCACCTGTTCCCGCAAAATGAGCACGCTTTAACGCAGCCATCGATGACAAATTGCGGGTGTTTTGGCACGATTAATATTCTGCTGTAACCATGAGACGGCAGCCAGGCAGCCAGGAATAACTACCCCAGAGAATAGGACTCTTAAGGGTGTTTTACGATGTCATACGCCACTTTAAACGAGGATGTAGTATCAAAACAAACCCAGGCAGCTGACGGAGTGTTAAATAAATAAATGCTGCTGTATTTGACCTTAGATTGTCATTGAGCTGTGATGCCACAGAAAGAGAGAGTCTAGGTTTGTTTCAAATTGTAGAATGTCTAAGAAGGGAACATATTAGTGAAGCCAATATTAATATCCTCCTGAGGGTACTAAAGGTTATCACATCCCATAAATACATATAACTGTTTTTATAGGATAACAATTTGTGTATCTTTAAGTTGTGTCACTGAAATTGGCCAGCTATCTGACACGAGCTCTGGAGAGGAGCGTGGATAGCATATTTAGTGTGTTTGGCTATAAATAGTGTCTACTTTACAGTGACCGAATAGGAGAGGAGAGAGGACAAGATGCATGCTAAATAATATGGGTCAAGCGCCTGATTTGGGCCTGTTACTGTTCACCCCCTTATTTCGAGTGAAGCAAACACTTTTCATGTAAGCTGGGGATATTTATGTCCTGTCGACATGTTGCACTGACACTCTTAATGGCTCAACCAAGGCCATGTTATCGATTGTTTTGTTGTTATTCCTGACTTCATGAGCTCACAAAGCAAATTGTTGCTGCAGCCACAAATAGGATCATTCTTCATCTACATTGATCCTTTAAAGATTCAGTGCTCACACTAAAATGCTTCTTATGTCTATTATAATGACAAACTTATTTTGGTGTATCAGCTTCATGTTTTTTTAATTGAAGTCACTTATGCAGCCTTTTCTTCCTCTCATAAGATTGTGTAATGAATCAACCACAGCCTCAAAAGGGCACAACTGAAATACCTGAATCTGGTGACAGAATGTAAAGGGCAATGGCAATTTACTGATCAAAGCATTAAACCAGAAATACCCTATACAAGCCTTCGGTAAATGAGCGTGAAATGACACTTCACAGGCTTTCCTCATTAAAGTCGTTATGTTCGCTAGGCTGTCAAACATATTGACTATGAATATGTTTGCTGTAATTATACTCTTCGGTGCCTTGTCAATCAGCACTGAGGGTCAATCTAAGGTTGTAGACCCATTATTACATTATGTAAGCAAATATCATGAATAACTTTGTGCCCCCTCAGTTATCTATCTATCTATCTATCTATCTATCTATCTATCTATCTATCTATCTATCTATCTATCTATCTATCTATCTATCTATCTATCTATCCATCTATCCATCCATCCATCCATCCATCCATCCATCCATCCATCCATCCATCCATCCATCCATTGTGCTCAGCATAAATGAGTACACCCCCTTTTGAAAATGCATATTGTTTTTGTTAATTTCTCAGTGAATATAGCTTATATATTTTGGGGCAGTTAAACACTATGATTTTAAAGTTATAAGTATTAATTACAGTCTTTAGTAATAGAAAGATAATACGTTTAAATTCAAACAGGTTTTTGCAAAAAAAATAAAATACCAACTATAAAATGTCAACTAAATTTGATACATTTTCTATGTTTCGCTTGACTTTTCCTGTTTTTCACTTATTAAATTTAATATTTGCCCTGAACATATTTGGTTGTGCAGATTTTTGGATCTTAAGTTATGTTAGATAAGTTCCAGTTTTGACTTTGGGACTGACTAATCTATGCTCAATGATATTACTGTAAAACATCCTATAGAAGAGAGATCTGTGAGGGGGTGACTCATTTAAACTGAGCATTCTGTACATGCATCTATATACATATATAGCATAATTTTAAGACACAAAATTGAAATGATCTAAAAATAATAATTCCTTACATTAATATAGTGCTTTTTTTAGATACTCAAAGCATTTACAGAATTTTACAGCCTCTTAACAATCCCTATATCATTATTGTCTCCTCTCCACCAATAATGGTGTGTGGTGTGCCGTCGCGTCATCCAGGGGGATGCTTCATACTGGTCGTGGTTGAGGAGATTTCCCCCAAATCTGTAAAATGCCTTGATGGTGTCTGAGGAGATTCCCCCTAAATCTGTAAAACCTGTAATCTGTTAAAAAAATACCTAAATATATAAAATACTGGTAGTGGTTGAAGAGATTCCAATATGCACTATCCACCACCAGTAGCAGCATACCCCTGGATGATACGACGGCACACCAAACACCATTATTAGTGGAGAGGGGACAATAATGATATGGGGATTGTTTAGAGGCTGGGATGGAGATAAGCCAGTGGGCAAATTTAGTCAGGATGCTTGGGTCACCCATACTCTTTTCAAAGAACATCCTGGGATTTTTAATAACCACAGAGAGTCAGGACCTTGTTTAATGTCTTATCCAAAAGATGGTGCTCACTGACAATATAGTGTCCCCACACTTCACTGGGGCATTAAGACCCACATAGAGTATAGGTTGGCATACACTACCTGACAACAGTCGCCTATCCAAGTTTTAGGAACAACACATAATAACTTGACTTCCAGTTGATTATTTGGTATCTGAAGTGGCTTATATAAAAGGCAAAGGCCTCTAGGTTACACTTATATTTACCAAAGTAAAGTATTATCATGCCCTGAAATTTTAATTATTTAATTAGGACAGTAAGGTCTGACTTTGTTCAGACAAAAGTCTTGTCACTTAACAGAAATAATGTATAGAATATAAAGTCATGGTGCAGTGGAAAAAAAAAATTATTATTGTTTATGACTCCCATGAGCTTGGAGGTCTGCATCCATACATCTCTGCAATGACTTAACTTATTAATAAAGCCATCTGGATTAGCAAAGAAAGCGTTCTTGCAGGACTCCCAGAGTTCATCAAGATTCTTTGGATTCATTTTTAGCACCTTCTCCATCTTACCCCAGACTTGCTTCTTTGCTAGCAGGAACTTTGATTTGAAGGCTGAAAAATGAGAAGGAGCGCTTTTCTGTTGAAGAATTCGCCCTTTCCTGTGGTTTGTAATGTAATGGGCAGCACAAATGTCTTAATACCTTAGGCTGTTGATGTTGCCATCCACTCTGCAGATCTTCTGCATGCCCCTATACTGAATGTAACCCCAAACCATGTTTTTTTTCTTCACCAAACTTGACAAATTTCTCTGAGAATCTTGGGTCCATGCAGATTCCAATAGGTCTTCTGCAGTATCTGTGATGATTGGTCTACCTATCTGTCTACCTGTAGCTTTATTTTGTATAGATCAGTGTTTCCCAGCTCTGTTCCTGAAGGCACGCCAACAGCACACATTTTCAACCTCTCCCTAATCAAACGCACCTGAATCAACTCATCAGAACATTAGAAGAGAGTCCAAAACCTGAAGATAATGGGTCAGATAAGGGAGACATCCAAAATCTGTACTGTTGGTGTGCCTGCAGGAACAGGGTTGGGAAGTAGTGGTATAGATCAGGGGTCATCAATCTCGGTCCTGGAGGGCCGTTGTCCCTGCAGGATTTAGCTCCAACTTGCCTCAACACACCTGCCTGGATGTTTCATGTATACCTAGTGAGACCTTGATTAGCTTGTCCAGGTGTGTTTGATTAGGGTTGGAGCTAAAATCTGCAGGACACCGGCCCTCCAGGAACAAGTTTGGTGACCCCTGGTATAGATGATCAGCACAAAATGAAATTAAATGTGGGCAACACGGTGGTGCAGTGGGTAGCGCTGTCGCCTCACAGCAAGAAGGTCGCTGATTCGAGCCCTGGCTGAGTCATTTGGCATTTCTGTGTGGAGTTTGCATGTTCTCCTGTGCTTGGATGGGTGTTTCCCAGTGCCGAGTTGTGACCGGAAGGGCATCTGCTGTGTAATAACACATGCTGGAATAGTTGGCGGCTCATTCTGCTGTGACGACCCCTGATTAATAAAAGGAATAAGTCGAAAAGAAAACGAATGAATAATGAAATTCAATGTTTAAACTGTCCATCCATCCATCACGCAAATATAAAGCAAGCAGTTAATATTGATAGCTATTACTTTCCAAAAAATCTCTCTGTGTAAGAAATTTTGTAAGTGACCAGTCAGAATCAAGCATTTCAGGTCTGTATCACAGTATTGTCACTGTAGCCGAATGATAAATGACCTGACCTTACAGTTCAGTCCCAGGTAGCGTCTCAGGGGTGAGTATAAAAGGCAATAAGTAGAGAGAACTGTGTGTTGGAAAGTGCAATCACATACTTCTGTGTTACAAAAATCCCTTTTCCCCCTTTCCTCCCTTTGTGTCAGCTCAGGCGGTGCAGAGCTCCGGCTTACTATTGAAATTTGTGACACTTCCTAAATGTTGACTCCTTTATGATTAATTGCTTGCGTT